CCCCAAAACCCCAAAACCCCAAAACCCCATAGGTATTGAATATGAAAGGGAAAAAAATAAGTGAGCAGTTAATCAATTATGATGAAGATTTTATGATAAATTTAAGTTCTATACTTGATTATTTTCAGGGCCAAAATAGGCTCAAGCTAGCATAGCTTTTTGGATTGTGTCAATGGCAAGGTTGCAAACTTTTGCAATCTTATCTCCATGTTAGGCGAGAAGTGTATCCTAAACGAACTTCTTCTCTGAGTGAGTCATTGGCATAAAATCAAATTGATAAGTTAATCCTAGATAAAGGAAATTGTCAAGATAGAATGGGCTGATTCTTGGCTTAGAGAAAACAGATGTAATGAAGAACATAAGTTTTGGGTCGAGTGATCTGAAGTCATAAGGAGTTCTGAACATATCATTGATCATTTATTAAGCAGTCATTATGAATATACTGAGAAGCATGTTGTAGTCTCTGGAATTCATACCGACTCTATCATTCAAAACTTCGACATTGCTGACCTAGATTTATGGAATGTTGACATACACATAATAGTTCTCCTCAGAAATGTTGAGGACAGCATTAAAGTTCATTGCGAATTGAACGGCCAATTCTCTTTAAGTAGTTTTGTTTTGGCAGTAAACCATCAAATGTAGTGAAGCATTGTTGTGTTTTCCAATTTCAATACCAGTATTTTTGTTAAGGACAAGGAAATCACCATCATCTGCAAGGATTGATACTTCTAGGTCTGATATCATATCAGCTCCATAGTAGTTTTGAATCTCATAGAACATGTTTGTGAGTTAGCTGGTGATACCTGTATTGCTGACTTTGTATGGGAAAAAGTCTTGATCAAGTGCAAAGAAGAGAGATTGTAACATAGTTTAATGAACAAAGATCTGGTGGGAGTTTAATCCATCAATTCTCTTGGGGAAGACCTGGTTTTATTTAACGTGGCTAGTCTTATCAATTGAATCATAGAAAGTACCATCTAAGTGAAGCTCAAGGATGTTATCAGCATTGTCAGTCTATGGGGCCTCGGTGAAGGTAAGATTCAATGGGAATCTTGAGTCGAAGAGGCTCACTAAGAATGCAGTTGAGTTGTGAATAGACATTTAGTTGTTGAATAAATCGATTTTAGCTTAGATAAGATCTTTGACCTTTGGAAGTTCACCCTTAACAGCCTTAAGGATACTTCCATGAAGCATGTTAACGATTCCTTGGAAGAAACTGCTCTGAAGTTCGAATTAGAAGTCTGTGACATCAACAATAATAGCGTCCTTGACTTGCCAGTTGACATTATCAGTGGTTGGAGCATTAAGGTCAACCTGTAGAGTCATGTTGGTGACATTGAGGCCGGCAGTCTTAAGGGGGATAAACCAAAGAGCAGTGATTGAGCCATCAACTCTGGTTGAGATATCAAATCCACTGACTAAGATTCTGACAGTGTTAGTGCCTGGAATATATCCAATAAAACTAGTTGCAACGTTAACTGAGTTGACGAATACATCCTAGATATCAATCTTGTAGGCGAATCCTTTGTCTTCAAAAGTAAGGTTGAATTGTTTTTGTTGGAGAACCTCTTGAACAGTGATTGGGAAAATCAATCCGAGCATGTTGTTGAGATACTTGAGATTGGTGTTGATGGTAATAGCTCCTGGGAGGGGAACAGTTTGAGTCGCTGTTGAGGTGAAGGTAACTGCGAGAACTAAGAGTGCTAGGCCTAGCACACCTTTGGTTGTGAAATTTCTCATATTAATTATTAATCTGGATCCTATTATAAATAATAATTCAAATGTATCTCTGAGAATAGATCATGATTATATTATCAATCGGTCTTGAATAATTCACTCACGGGGTTTTGGGGTTTTGGGGTTTTGGGGTTTTGGGGTTTTGGGG